TTCATAAACACTATGCCATGGGATCGGTACGTCAAAGATCTCTTCCCAACTATTTTGCAATCTATATGGGACGGCTGTCAATCCTTTGGTCCTTAAGTGAAACTGATATACTTTTTATTTATCACAGTTTTCCTTAACCAATTATGTTCTTTGATGCAAGGCCGACAGACAAGTTCCTTACTTTCTCCCCCTTCCACTTTCCTCTTCCACTTTTGCGGTAAGGCTGCAATTATTTGGTTGTAATTTTGAGTAGAGCAGACATTTCCATATGTTTTTGTTAGCTGCATGTGTGATATTCATTGTTTACCAAGATTCATTTTTGCCAGTCAGACTCTAAATGGGACTGATTCTCTAGTTACTTTTACAAGAGATATTGAGAACATTCTCTCTGAGTGAAATGTGATTGTTTTTTGCAGGCGAGACTAGATTGAAAAGGAAAGAATATGTCCTCACTCCTCTGGATAAGCCATGAAACTATTGTCTCTGCGCCCTCATCCAATTCAGATGTTCTATTCATTTCATAACTGTGCCTTTACCACCTGTTTAATTCAACAGTAACAACTTAGGATGAGAAAGAGCCTCACGTACGTTCCACAGACAGCTAATCCATTTCCTCTCTAAATTAATTAATTAAAAATCTGTACCATTTGTCCGTAGGATAAATTGGTGACTGCTCAATGGAGTTTCTAATGTTGCTGCTGCGATTAGATTTGCCCCTCATGAGTGGCATGTAATTATAATTTGTTGTACAAAGGCGCATGTTTTCCCTCCACATATCAATCAATTACACACACAGAAAATAACTCATTTCACACATCATAAGCTCAATGTAAATAGATGTACTGTACGCCGCACAAATGAGAACACTGTTATTATGCTCAGTGCATTATATGACTTGGTTTAACCATTCAAAATGGTGGGTATATAGTTATACACACTCAAGTTAAAGTCTTATTTCTTGTTTGTTACACAAGAAAAAATATTTTGCATCTTCAAAGTGGTAGGGATGTTGTGTAAATCAAATGATACAAACCCCCAACAAATCTATTTTAATTCCAGGTTGTAAGGCAACAAAATAGGAAAAATGCCAAGGGGGGTGAATACTTTCGCAAGCCACTGTAGCTTTAGTTTAGGGTATGGTGCCACAGCAGGGGCCAGCCCTCTGCTAATATAATTTATCCTTATATTTTATTTGTCCCCTGAAGATGTGAGGTTGCGCTTATTAAACCTTGGAGGCTATATCTGATGTCGCAGCATCCATGGATTATCATTCCTTACCCCGGCCTTACACATGCTTCGCCCAGAGTGGCTCTCCATGTGGTTGCTAGCAAGCCGAAAGCATGCTAGGCATTGCTAGGTATCAACAGCCAATCCAGTAGGGTCAGGAAGCTATAGTGAGCTTCGATTGGTCAATCGCGCTGTGATATCGGCAAGTATTTGCATAAAGTTCAGCTTTCCCCAACGTAAATCCTGTTCTGTTGTTTCATCGCCTCACATCGTTTCCAGTTAACACGGGTCCGTAACACATCATCATGGTCTCTTAGAACTGCCTTTGTAAATGCATAAACGTTTTAAAGTCCAGAAGGCCTATTTAATGCACACACACAGGCGGTTCATAGTGTTATTGACACATACTATCATTTTATTTTATTTCAGCAGAAATAAAATATGTATTACTTAGCAAGACACTTTTATCCAAAGGGACTTACAGTACAGTGACTGCATACATTTTAAAGTGCGACTGAATAAAAAATAAAACATCTCTGGTTGAAAACAGCTTATGTGGATATGCGTCAGAAACATTTATTCTAGTGTCAAAATTTACTACAAAGTGTAAATAGGATAATTTTGGTCATGAAGTCAGTCTTGTCCAAAACTGAGATTTGCGAGATTATTAGGAAAAATTGGTACGTTACGGAATGAAGGGTACATAATAGTTTCCTTGGGTTGGGTTTATTTCAATCCTGCCCATGATCTACCTGTAGCTCAGTTGGTAGAGCATGGCGCTTGCAACGCCAGGGTTGTGGGTTCGTTTCCCACGGGGGGCCAGTATGAAAAATGTATGCACTCACTAAACTGTAAATCGCTCTGGATAAGAGCGTCTGCTAAATGACTCAAATGTAAAAGTGTAAAACGTAATGGCAGTACCAAGTAATCATTAATTCGGAGCGCAACTGCATATGACCTGATTGTAATGCCCATCACACTGACCATGGCAAATTTGGTTTGACTTTGGATATCCCTATGGGGCTAGTAAGGGACCATCAATAAATTACACAATGGACAATATTTAAACATTTAAATAGATCAAAATTTCAATGACATTAAAACATAGACGCAAATTAAATTGTAGAAATTCATATACAAATACTGAAAGCATTTCATTAGAAAACTAAAAGGTGTGCAACATGAAAATATTGTTCCATTTACATTGTGTAATATGGGAGCATGGGCGAGGGAACGTGAACAGGGTGCGACTTATTGATGATCCTTAACTAGCCCCACAGATAGGCTATCCAAAGTCAAACCAGCTTTGCCACGGTCACACACCGGCCAGCTGAAGCTAATTGGTGAAAGATGATGGCTAGCTTGCTAGCTAGGCTACTTCCATACACAATACCTGGTTAGACTGTTTCAAGTTATCTAGAAGGGTGAGTGACTGTAACTGTGTACAGTTTTTTAAATAAATATTTTTATGCAACTTAAACTAAATAAAAACTAGCAAATCAGGTCTGATAACCTTGCACACAAGAAACACCCACATCAAAGCACACCTCCAAATCCTGTTCTCAGTAGCATTTCCTAATGAGGATGATTGAAACCGAGGCTAAATCAGTAAGTTCAGCCCCTCTTTAAGTATGTTGAACCCACAACCATGGCATTGCTAGCACTACACAATTACCAAATGGGCCACACAGGACCACTTGGTCAGTGAGCTTTCAAATGCTACATGAGAAAGCAAGGATCAACTGAACACTGAAACATCTCCAGTATTCTCAGAGAGGAGGAATAGGGTTCTATTCAGTCATATGAAGTGGTCTGGCCATCACTGGCAATGTGGAGAACGAAACATTGCCTTCTGTTCATTTACCAAGCTCTTCTGCAGAAACTACCATACTACCTCACATCGCTCCTGATATATAGAACTATGAAATATCCCACTCGCTCCCAGGAATGGCTAATTCTTAAAATTCCTTTTGTCACTACTGATCTAGGCTAAACAGCCTTTAGTTTTTACATGCCACATACATGGAATGAATTTCAGGACACTCTGAGATTAGACTCCCTAGTGCCTTTCAGTCACTTCAGGGTATTGGTGGGAGACCTGTTCATAGAGGAGTTCACAGAGGACCTCTGAAGTCTTAATGGGTTGGGAAACTGTAGAGGAAACTGTTGGGGAGACTGTTGGGGTAACTATTATATTTGATTGATCTATGAACTGTGTTTTTAAAAGTCTAGTGACTCCTTAAGCGTAATATCTTTCTGCTTGTCATGCAGTGAAAGTTGATGCCTCCAGTTTCCTTTTTGGTTTCCTTTTATTTTCCTATTGATAGCTTGGCTCTTATTTTTCTGGTGGACCAGTGGTTGGTGTGCTTTATCCCTGGTCCAGATGTTACTACCTGTGTCTTTAGGGCAGCCATGGCCCAAATGTGTTTCTAGGCTTGTCCTTGTAGGTCGTACAGGCTATACTATTAGTAACCTTAAGACCACTATGCGAATATATTGTATTTTTGTGTGTGTATGTGTGTGTGTGTGTGAGTGTGAGTGATTGGGTTGAGTGTGAATGTGAACAATAGTTACTTAAACACTTGAAGTACTCCCCTGCCACAAACTTGACATTCACCAGGAACTTGACCACAAGTTCAAAGCAGCTCAGTTTGGCTTGAAGTAGTTTTTATTTCTGAGAACATAGTTGTTTCCATCTAGATAAGATAGTGGACTGTGGACATATCTTGCACTTGGAGTATTTGATAAATGTAGTATTCGTAGTCCTAGCTTTTAGAGTTTGGAAAGAACATGTTCCTATCAGCACCAGAACTCTGAAGTGAAGCGTGTTAGTTTTTTCCCCTCGTGATCATCTTTGCTGTTATTTTTGTATTATTTTGTTATTACTACAGCAGCACTACTGCATAATTTGTCTGAAAGAAGTGGGCCATTCAATGTGGAGCAATCGAGTGCTACAGAATGTATGACTGCTAATCGTGCTTATAGTCATCTGTGTCTTGCATTTTCAGGCGAGGTTTTATTGCCCCGTGTAGCTCACTTGGTAGAGTAGGGCGTTTGCAACGCCAGGGGTTGTGGTTTCGATTCCCACAGGGGGCCAGTATGAATTTTTTTTGCACTCACTAACTGTAAGTCGCTCTGGATAAGAGCGTCTGCTAAATGACTAAAATGTAAAATGATTGTGTTATTATCTATTGATTGCATTTCGTATTTGATGTGTGTATTTTGGATGCAACAGTAATTAACAGTAAACTGTTATTTGATTACTAATCCAGGAAACCTGGAGACTGGGTTTGATTAAATAGTAGCCCATAGTCAGTTCAACTCTTCTGCGGCTGCTGAACAAATATCTAAATTTTTTCACCTATTGTCTCTCTTCTGCAGTCTTCTTATTTATTTCTCTATCGTAGCTGCTTTGTGTCTGTTGATCTCTCTCTCTGTCTCTCTCTCTCTCTGTCTGTCTGTCTGTCTGTCTGTCTGTCTGTCTGTCTGTCTGTCTGTCTGTCTGTCTGTCTGTCTGTCTGTCTGTCTGTCTGTCTGTCTGTCTGTCTGTCTGTCTGTCTGTCTGTCTGTCTGTCTGCCTGTCTGCCTGCCTGCCTGCCTGCCTGCCTGCCTGCCTGCCTGCCTGCCTGCCTGCCTGCCTGCCTGCCTGCCTGCCTGCCTGCCTGCCTGCCTGCCTGCCTGCCTGCCTGCCTGCCTGCCTGCCTGCCTGCCTGCCTGTCTGTCTGTCTGTCTGTTCTGTTCTGTTCTGTTCTGTTCTGTTCTGTACTTTCAGGATTTCAGTGTGTGACGAGGACAAGTTCCGCCACAATGAGTTCATCGGTGAGACACGCATCCCCCTCAAGAAACTCAAGCCCAACCAGACCAAGAACTTCAACAACTGCCTGGAGAAACAGCTACCTGTAAGTTATCTCCAAATTCCCTTTTTCATCTCCCCATTTAAAACCAAATTAAGCATAGCCGGAAAATTAAGCATATCCTAATTTCAATTGATTATTTTGTCTCCACTGCTAAATTACAAACATTTTCTTGTGTAAATGTTCTATTTGTTACGTACAGATCATTTGCTTAAATACCTTGTGTTGAAAGACAGCAATACTGTATGTATCCTGTCATTAATACATGATGGACCTTAAAACATTTCATATACCTGTACATCCCCTTTTAACACCGTACACACTGTAAATGAACTTCATGAAACAACCACAGACATTTCAATGGAGCACCACCTACTGAGGGCTCTGTTCAACACTGCCTCTCTCCCTGAATTATGCAGGTTTACAGCATTAAAGACCGGAGAGAATGACAGTCTCTCATAATCCATTCAAGCAATTACATTTACCCATGGGCTTTAAACAAGGACTGGCCATTGATGCCCGAGGCATTTGATTTACTCACGAGTGCTACTTACTTAGCGCACTGGAGGATGTTGCTAGCTATTGTCGTTATTTTACAGTACTGTCGCTAGTCAAATATGGACTAGCTTTTTTCACATACAATACTGTAGCTCCACCTTAATTGCAATTGAACTCAATCTCTACTAAATGGATCCTTAGTTGAGCTGCAATATTTGATCCTCCAAACTATGTCCACATTTGGGTTGCTGTTTCCAATAACCTTAGTTTGGGAGTTTTACTTTTTACGAATGAGCTGATTCATAGGGATGAGCCCTTTCTTAATATTCACAATTTTATCCGAGCGTGTCGTTAAAATCTCCAGATTTCATTGAGCTTAGCGGCGCTCACATAAATGTGTTTTCTCTTACCATCAACAACACTGAAGGGAATCTGCTCCGACTACTCGGAGAAGGCTTAGCCCAGTCTTTGACTGAGCATCACCAACATGCAGCCTTTTCCTCAGCCTGTGGATTACTGAGCTATGTGCTGCTAACACACATACAGGCTCATGCAAACACACCCACACAACACATATACAGTGGGGAAAAAAGTATTTAGTCAACCACCAATTGTACAAGTTCTCCCACTTAAAAAGATGAGAGAGGCCTGTAATTTTCATCATAGGTACACATCAACTATGACAGACAAAATGAGAAAAAAAAATCCAGAAAATCACATTGTAGGATTTGTAATGAATTTATTTGCAAATTATGGTGGAAAATAAGTATTTGGTCAATAACAAAAGTTTCTCAATACTTTGTTATATACCCTCTGTTGACAATGACACAGGTCAAACGTTTTCTGTAAGTCTTCACAAGGTTTTCACACACTGTTGCTGTTATTTTGGCCCATTCCTCCATGCAGATCTCCTCTAGAGCAGTGATGTTTTGGGGCTGTCGCTGGGCAACACAGACTTTCAACTCCCTCCAAAGATTTTCTATGGGGTTGAGATCTGGAGACTGGCTAGGCCACTCCAGGTCCTCTGTAGCTCAGCTGGTAGAGCACGGCGCTTGTAACGCCAAGGTAGTGGGTTCGATCCCCGGGACCACCCATACACAAAAAAAAATGTATGCACGCATGACTGTAAGTCGCTTTGGATAAAAGCGTCTGCTAAATGGCATATTATTATTATTATTATTATTATTATTGAAATGCTTCTTACGAAGCCACGCCTTCGTTGCCCGGGCGGTGTGTTTGGGATCATTGTCATGCTGAAAGACCCAGCCACGTTTCATCTTCAATGCCCTTGCTGATGGAAGGAGGTTTTCACTCAAAATCTCACGATACATGGCCCCATTCATTCTTTCCTTTACACGGATCAGTCGTCCTGGTCCCTTTGCAGAAAAACAGCCCCAAAGCATGATGTTTCCACCCCCATGCTTCACAGTAGGTATGGTGTTCTTTGGATGCAACTCAGCATTCTTTGTCCTCCAAACACGACGAGTTGAGTTTTTACCAAAAAGTTATATTTTGGTTTCATCTGACCATATGACATTCTCCCAATCCTCTTCTGGATCATCCAAATGCACTCTAGCAAACTTCAGATGGGCCTGGACAAGCAGGGGGACACGTCTTGCAGTGCAGGATTTGAGTCCCTGGCTGCGTAGTGTGTTACTGATGGTAGGCTTTGTTACTTTGGTCCCAGCTCTCTGCAGGTCATTCACTAGGTCCCCCCGTGTGGTTCTGGGATTTTTGCTCACCGTTCTTGTGATCATTTTGACCCCACGGGGTGAGATCTTGCGTGGAGCCCCAGATCGAGGGAGATTATCAGTGGTCTTGTATGTCTTCCATTTCCTAATAATTGCTCCCACAGTTGATTTCTTCAAACCAAGCTGCTTACCTATTGCAGATTCAGTCTTCCCAGCCTGGTGCAGGTCTACAATTTTGTTTCTGGTGTCCTTTGACAGCTCTTTGGTCTTGGCCATAGTGGAGTTTGGAGTGTGACTGTTTGGGGTTGTGGACAGGTGTCTTTTATACTGATAACAAGTTCAAACAGGTGCCATTAATACAGGTAACGAGTGGAGGACAGAGGAGCCTCTCAAAGAAGAAGTTACAGGTCTGTGAGAGCCAGAAATCTTGCTTGTTTGTAGGTGACCAAATACTTATTTTCCACCATAATTTGCAAATAAATTCATAAAAAGTCCTACAATGTGATTTTCTGGATTTTCTTTTCTGAATTTGTCTGTCATAGTTGACGTGTTCCTATGATGAAAATTACAGGCCTCTCTCATCTTTTTAAGTGGGAGAACTTGCACAATTGGTGGCTGACTAAATACTTTTTTCCCCACTGTACACGCACACACACACACATTAATGAGCCTTTTTGACATACAGTTGAAGTCGGAAGTTGACACACACTTAGGTTGGAGTCATTAACACTCGTTTTTCAACCACTCCACAAATTTCTTGTAAACAAACTATAGTTTTGGCAAGTCGGTTAGGACATCTACTTTGTGCATGACACAAGTAATTTTTCCAACAATTGTTTACAGACAGATTATTTCACTTATAATTCACTGTGTCGCAGTTCCAGTGGGTCAGAAGTTTACATACACTAAGTTGACTGTGCGTTTAAACAGCTTGGAAAATTCCAGAAAATGATGTCATGGCTTTAGAAGCTTCTGATAGGCTAATTGACATAATTTGAGTCAATTGGAGGTGTACCTGTGGATGTATTTCATGGCCTACCTTCAAACTCAGTGCCTCTTTGCTTGACATCATGGGAAAATCAAAAGAAATCAGCCAAGACCTCAGAAAAATATTTGTAGACCTCCACAAGTCTGGTTCATCCTTGTGAGCAATTTCCAAATGCCTGAAGGTACCACATTCATCTGTACAAACAATAGTACGCAAGTATAAACATCATGGGACCACACAGCAGCCATACCGCTCAGGAAGTGGACGCATTCTGTCTCCTAGAAATAAACGTACTTTGGTGCGAAAAGTGCAAATCAATCCCAGAACAACAGCAAAGGACCTTGTGAAGATGCTGGAGGAAACAGATACAAAAGTATCTATATCCACAGTAAAACGAGTCCTATGTCGACATAACCTGAAAGGCCACTCAGCAAGGAAGAAGCCACTGCTACAAAACTGCCATAAAAAAGCTAGACTATGGTTTGCAATTGCACATTTTGGAGAAATGTCCTCTGGTCTAATGAAACAAAAATAGAACTGTTTGGCCATAATGACCATCGTTATGTTTGGAGGAAAAAGGGGGTATCTTGCAAGCCGAAGAACACCATCACAACCGTGAAGCACGGGGGTGGCAGCATCAAGCTGTGTGGGTGCTTTGCTGCAGGAGGGACTGGTGCACTTCACAAAATAAATGGCATCATGAGGAAGGAAAATTATGTGGATATATTGAAGCAACATCTCAAGACATCATTCAGGAAGTTAAAGCTTGGTCGCAAATGGGTCTTTCAAATGGACAATGACCCCAAGCATACTTCCAAAGTTGTGGCAAAATGGCTTAAGGACAACAAAGTCAAGGTATTGGAGTGGCTATCACAAAGCCCTTACCTCAATCCTACAGAAAATGTGTGGGCAGAACTGAAAAAGCGTGTGCGAGCAAGGAGGCCTACAAACCTGACTCAGTTACACCAACTCTGTCAAGAGAAATGGGCCAAAATTCACCCAACTTATTGTGGGAAGCTTGTGGAAGGCTACCTGAAACATTTGACCCAAGTTAAACAATTTAAAGGAAATGCTACCAAATACTAATTGAGTGTATGTAAACTTCTGACCCACTGGGAATGTGATGAAATAAATAAAAGCTTAAATAAATCACTCTCTACTATTATTCTGACATTTCACATTCTTAAAATAAAGTGGTGATCCTAACTGACCAAAGACAGGGAATTGTTACTTAGGATTAAATGTCAGGGATTGTGTAAAACTGAGTTTAAATGTATTTGGCTAAGGTGTATGTAAACTTCCAACTTCAACTGTAGGTGTGTGTGTGTGTCAAGGTTAACTAATAATGAAACGAATCATGAAAAAACAATTTAGTCAACTGAAATATAATAATTAACAAACCCATTTGAGAAACTGAAACTATACTGAAACTATTATCTTTGACTCCAAAACGAACTAAAATAAAAACCATAATGAATTATGTTTTTTTTCTTCTACTATTTACTTTGTGCATCTACGTCATCTTGCTGAGTCTAGCTTTAAACCTAACCCAACATATGACCTGACCCACCATCTTATGCATTACTGCCCCACAGTGGCAAGAAGTGCCATCCCATAAAAACACTAAAACTGAAACAAAATAATATAAAAATTAAATGGAAATGTTTTTATAAAACAAACTAAATGAAAACAAACTCAAACTAAACTGAATTTCAAATAAAAATCTTTAATTACCTTGGTGTGTGTGTGAGTGTGTGTGTGTTTCAGGTTTTCCAGAAATTCAGGTTGGAACATTCCAGGAAGCAGGAGGGAATAAGCAGGTAGTACGGAATTCTCCAACCAGGATTTCTAGAAAACCAAGGAATTATGGGAAAGTTTCCAGAATGTTGCAACCCTAATCAGGGTGAATTCAACTAACTCTGAAAGACGTGGTTTGATAGTGGCCAAGGTGTCGGCTAAATGAGAAGCAGATCTGGCCCCCAAGGCTACAATGTACTTACCTTGAAAACACACTGGAAATGAGAATGAATTGCCTTTGAAATTGGGATGAATTATTCATTGCAGTTTAAGGCACCACCGGACAAGATTTGGAGTTGAGACTTCTGTCAACGATTAATTTGATAAACCGGGGTTGGCAGACACTTTTTTTCCCCCATCAAACATGGAAGAGATTCCAGACAATGTAGTGTACTGCATGGCAATGTAGTGTACTGCAATGTAGTGTACTGCAGGGATCAGCACAAACCACAACAGAGGGATATCGGGAGAAAACTGTTGATCCAAGCAAGTCGTCGATACACTCCATAATTGCGAACACCCGTGCTGATTCGCTTGATGTCCTCAAAAGAGGTTGAAGTAGCTTAACCGGGGGCAATGGGACAGGGTTGATCAGAGACTGGTCAGGTTGAATCAGAGGTAGTAGGAAAAGTGGCCCCTCGAACTCTGCTACAGCTGATCTGAGATCAGTGCTACAGGGCTGGAGTCATGATAAAAGAGGACTTTGGATGATCACAAGCAGGAAGTGACTCGGTTAATAAAAAAGTGGTCAGATGACGCAGATGGTAAGCTACAGGACTGTTTTGCTAGCACAGACTGAAATATGTTCCGGGATTCTTCAGATAGCATTGAGGAGTACACCACATCAGTCACTGGCTTCATCAATAAGTGCATCGATGATGTCGTCCCCACAGTGACCGTACGTACATACCCCAACCAGAAGCCATGGATTACAGGCAAAATCCGCACTGAGCTAAAGGGTAGAGCTGCCGCTTTCAAGGAGCGGGACTCTAACCCGGACGCTTATAAGAAATCCCGCTATGCCCTCCAACGAACCATCAAACAGGCAAAGAGTCAATACCGGACTAAGATTGAATCGTACTACACCGGCTCTGACGCTCGTCGGATGTGGCAGGGCTTGAAAACTATTATGGACTACACAGGGAAGCACAGCCACGAGCTGCCCAGTGACACAAGCCTACCAGACAAGATAAATCACTTCTATGCTCGCTTCGAGGCAAGCAATACTGAAGCATGCATCAGAGCACCAGCTGTTCCAGATGACTATGTGATCACGCTCTCCGTAGCCGATGTGAGTAAGACTTTTAAGCAGGTCAACATTCACAAGGCCGCAGGGCCAGACGGATTGCCAGAACGTGTACTCCGAGCATGTGCTGACCAACTGGCAAGTGTCTTCACTGACATTTTCAACATGTCCCTGACTGAGTCTGTAATACCAACATGTTTCAAGCAGACCACCATAGTCCCTGTGCCCAAGGACACTAAAATAACCTGCCTAAATGACTACCGACCCGTAGCACACACGTCTGTAGCCATGAAGTGCTTTGAAAGGCTGGTCATGGCTCACATCAACACCATTATCCCAGAAACCCTAGATCCACTCCAATTTGCATACCACCCCAACAGATCCACAGATGATGCAATCTCTATTGCACTCAACACTGCCCTTTCCCAACTGGACAAGAGGAACACCTACGTGAGAATGCTATTCATTGACTACAGCTCAGCATTCAACACCATAGTGCCCTCAAAGCTCATCAATAAGCTAAAGATCCTGGGACTAAACACCTCCCTCTGCAACTGGATCCTGGACTTCCTGACGGGCCACCCCCAGGTGGTAAGGGTAGGTAACAACACATCTGCCACGCTGATCCTCAACACGGGGACCCCTCAGGGGTGTGTGCTCAGTCCCCTCCTGTACTCCCTGTTCACCCATGACTGCATGGCCAGGCACGACTCCAACACCATCATTAAGTTTGCTGACGACACAACAGTGGTAGGACTGATCACCGACAACGATGACACAGCCTATAGGGAGGAGGTCAGAGACCTGGCCGTGTGGTGCCAGGATAACAACCTCTCCCTCAACGTGATCAAGACAAAGGAGATGATTGTGGACTACAGGAAAAAAAAGAGGACTGAGCACGCCCCCATTCTCATCGACGGGGCTGTAGTGGAACAGGTTGAGAGCTTCAAGTTCCTTGGTGTCCACATCACGAACAAACTATCATGGTCCAAACACACCAAGACAGTTGTGAAGAGGGCACGACAAAGCCTATTCCCCCTCAGGAGACTGAAAATATTTGGCATGGGTCCTCAGATCCTCAAAATGTTCTACAGCTGCACCATCGAGAGCATCCTGACTGGTTGCATCACCACCTGGTATAGCAACTGCTCGGCCTCCGACCGCAAGGCACTACAGAGGGTGGTGCGTACGGCCCAGTACACCACTGGGGCCAAGCTTCTTGCCATCCAGGACCTCTATACCAGGCGGTGTTAGAGGAAGGCCCTCAAAATTGTCAAAGACTCCAGCCACCCTAGTAATAGACTGTTCTCTCTGCTACCGCACGAGAAGCGGTACCAGAGCGCCAAGTCTAGATCCAAAAGGCTTCTCAACAGCTTCTATCCCCAAGCCATAAGACTCCTGAACAGCTAATCATGGCTACCCGGACTATTTGCGCTGCCCCCCCACCCCCACCCCATCCCCCTCTTTTACGCTGCTGCTACTCTGTTTATTATTTATGCATAGTCACTTTAACTCTACCCACATGTACATATTACCTCAACTAGCCGGTGCCCCCGCACATTGACTCTGCACCGGTACCCCCCTTTATATAGCCTCCCTACTGTTATTTTACTGCTGCTCTTTAGTTGCTTTTATTCTTTGGTTAAGGGCTTTTAAGTAAGCATTTCACTGTAATGTCTACACCTGTTGTATTCGGCGCATGTGGCAAATAACATTTTATTTTATTTGATCTGCTCAGAACAAATTTGTTGGTTCTCATGCGGTCTCTTGTTAGTCACCATATGGATGCTGGATGCTTTCTTCCAGCTCAGCAATACAACACTTTGGGTATTTCCAGTATGTTTGGGAAGCATTGCGCTATTTGGAACACTTACACACTTTTGCTTTAAATTCACAATAATGTGTGTTCCATGATGAATAATGTGACATATTTCCACATTATACAATGGGTGTGTCTAATCCTAAATGCTGATTGGTTAAAACCACATTCCAGCCAGTGTCTATTCCACAAGTTACCACCGGCTAAATCTATGATGTTAAAATGCCTATTTACTCTGTTCCATCTGACTGCGCAATCCACTGTCTCATCATCGCAGCCAGGCAATTTATAAACTTGATTTCCACTATAAAAAGCATCTAGACATTATCTCACATTTCTTTTAGGCTAACATTTTTGTATAAACCTTGCTGTCTGTCTTTCCGACATTTGCAACATTGTTTCAATATTCAAATTCGATCTCCAGCTGTCCCATAGTAATGAATGTGTCGGGAGTCGGGACGAGACAGACAGGCAGGCAGCTTTTCTCAGCCAGTCGAAATCATGAATCAGCCTCATTTTTATGGATATATACAAAGAACTGTCAATAGAAAACAGGTAAAACGAAATGAAGTGCAGCTAGTTTACTGTCTTTCCATCTTCAGTATGAAGTGATTGTGTTAGTTGTGTTGTTGGCTAGCTCCTCTGAGCAATTGTGTCCAGACGAGAGAGCACATGTTCAATGCCAGGTGAAATTGTGCATCATTAGCTCATTGTTATGGATGTATCCAAATAAATGTTAATAGAAAACAGCTTAAAGAAAAGCAAATGCAGCTACTTTGCTGTTATTCTGGCTGAACTGTTTGACGTGACTGTAAGTTAGCCGTAGTTGGCTAGCTAGCACGCAAGGGATAAAAACGTTGCCAGCCAATATGGCAATGGAACATTTAGAATGAACAAATGGGTCACGTCAATAGATACAGAACAAAAAGACTGAACTACTGGGTCGCGTCTCTGGTAACCGAACCGATAGAACGAACGACCAGCCGGCTTGGGTAGCAACCCTAGTTTTGTGTCGGGACTATATCTTAAATTAATCAAAATAACGTTTTTAATGAAAATATATAAATCAATATTTGAATAGGTTGTTGGTAACCTCTCTCTCTCTCTCTCTCTCTCTCTCTCTGTGAGTCGACAAATTTGCACATCTTAAATTTGGAATACAATCGAGACTAATAGGCATATGGTATTAAAGTAACTGCGAAGAGTTGCTCTGTGCCTGTGCAGTCACTCGTGCCAAGTATGTACTTGTCCACAGCAATACTTACTTTGCAAATCAAACTCCAAATCAAGTTACACCATTTGATTGGATTCCCAATCTGATCAGTGGACATTTGCATTTGGAGAAGAAACCCATCTAAAAAGTCCTGACTGAAAACTTGGGAATCAACCCTAACTGGTAGAGCTGCTATGTACATCCCACTCAGTCTCCTCCACCAGTCTCCTCATGTAAGTGGGTGTGAATGTTAACCGTTGTAACGTCTGGGGACAGCAAGTGTTCCTCTAAACTGTTGATCAACTGTTGGACCTCATGAAGATCCACCTTGGATCAAAATGTTCTAAATAATGGTGGTATAGGATACAGTATATAATGTGATGTGCGTAAGACTATGTTTCTATCGAGCACGACATCTCCACTATGTACTCACTATGCTCCTTACCTTTGACCCCTGTGTGTCCCCACTCCTTTACCTGCAGATTGACAAGACAGATGACAAGTCCCTGGAGGAACGAGGGCGCATCATGATCTCCCTCAAGTACAGCTCCCAGAAGTCTGGCCTAGTGGTGGGCATCGTCCGCTGTGCCCACCTCGCCGCCATGGACGCCAACGGCTTCTCAGACCCCTATGTCAAAACGTGAGCACATGTTCCCAAACGCACGTACTTCAGACCTCTAGTGGTACTGGATTGATTTTTACTCCTCATCATCCCTTAGGTCTATATGGAATCAATCTCTGGTTTATAATTCTTTCTCCATTTTTATTAAGCAAACAAAAGTTTCTTCCATTTGGAAATGTTGGATGATAAACTACTAGACCAACACATTTGATCCTGGTGTTGAAAAACAGGCAAAGATGCATCTCTGCATCTCCTATCAGCCAATATGTAATGATGCAAGAAATTCAGACTACCATGCACTCACAAGGAAAATGACACAAGAAAGATAATCACATAATTTACATTTAGCCAAAGTTACTTGCTGTGCCTAGGGCTAGCAATCATTATCCTATTGCCAGCAGACCAGAGCAAGATCCAAATTCACCACAGAGTATGGAGTCCTTGGAACAGAACAGATAGCAGCAGTGCTCACGTTTCGGCGGTGAATCTCCTGTGATTACTCCTCAACATGAAAGAGATGTACTGCGCAAGAGGCCCTCCTGAGGGCTGCAATTATGAACAAGTGTTATTTTAATCACACCTGAACATTACTGCACTTCTTTCATCTCGCTGAACAATGGAAGTGAAATTAACACATGACTCTGGTGAGAACTCCACAAGAACAAAGGAGGAAGAAGACTCATTGGAAGAGAGGACGGAAATTCCAACCAGCGATTGAGAACTGCTCCCCGAAGACCAAAAGACTCGTAGCCCAGATAATAGATTTACAAACATCCTCTTATGAAGGCTTGGAAGGAGAGTTGTGTCCCAAATGGCACCCTATTCCCTATGTAGTGCATCACTTTTGTCCAGAGGGCCCTAGTCAAAAGTAGTGCACTACATAGAGAATAGGGTGCTATTTGAGACACAGCGGAGGAGTATGCTCTGTTGAATAGAGAAGGAGAACTGAAATGGTTTTCCAGTCCTCCGACACCCAATGGTTATGTCATGGCTGTCTAACACATCATGTCGTGGCTGTCTGGCTTCAGAAGGCTGCCGGACACTGAGTCGCTCCACCCCACTGTGTTAATGAAACGCTGGGCTTTTGTACTGGGCCAGTAGCCCCTTTGCACACACACACACGAGTTGACAGGGCAGTGGTCCCACCGAGTGTTACACGTGGGCTCCCGAGTGGCGCAGTGGTCTAAGGCACTGCATGTCAGTGCTTAAGGTGTCACTACAGACCCCCTGGTTCGATTCCAGGCTATATCACAACCGGCCGTGATTGGGAGTCCCGTAGGGCGGCGCACAATTGGCCCAGCATTGTCTGGGTTTGGCCGTTGTAGGCAGTCATTGTAAATAAGAATTTTTTCTTAACTGACTTGCCTAGTTAAATAAAGGTTAAATAAAAAATACATGGTGAGTGATGAACATTAATTTACAGTGCCTTGCAAAAGTATTCATCCCCCTTGATATTTTTCCTATTTTGTTGCATTACAACCTGTAATTTAAATGGATTTTTATTTGGATTTCATGTAATGGACATACACAAAATAGTCCAAATTGGTGAAGTGAATTAAAAAAAATAACTTGGTGCGTGCATATGTATTCACCCCCTTTGCAATGAACCCCCTAAATAAGATCTGGTGCAACCAATTACCTTCAGAAGTCACATAATTAGTTAAATGAAGTCCTCCTGTGTGCAATCTAAGTGTCACATGATCTGAGTACATATACACCTGTTCTGAAAGGCCCCAGAGTCTGCAACACCACTAAGCAAGGGGCACCACTAAGCAAGGGGCACCACCAAGCAAGGGGCACCACCAAGCAAGCGGCACCATGAAGACCAAGGAGCTCTCCAAACAGGTCAGGGACAAAGTTGTGGAGAAGTACAGATCAGGGTTCGGTTCTAAAAATATATCTGAAACTTTGAACATCCCACAGAGCACCATTGAATCCATTATAAAAAAATTGAACGAATATGGCACCACAACAAACCTGCCAAGAGAGGGCCGTCCACCAAAACTCATGGACCAGGCCACAAAGGCATTAATCAGAGAGGCAACAAAGAGACCAAAGATAACCCTGAAGGAGCTGCAAAGCTCCACAGTGGAGATTGGAGTATCTGTCCATAGGACCACTTTAAGCCGAACCCTCCACAGAGCTGAGCTTTACGGAAGCCCTCCTGTAGCTCAGTTGGTTGAGCATGGCGCTTGCAACGCCAAGGTTGTGGGTTCGATTCCCACGGGGGGCCAGTATGAAAAATGTATGCACTCACTAACTGTAAGTCGCTCTGGATAAGAGTGTCTTCTAAATGACTAAAGATTGGCCAGAAAAAGGCATGTGGGAGACTCCCCAAACATATGGAAGAAGGTACTCTGGTCAGATGAAACTAAAATTTAGCTTTTTGGCCATCAAGGAAAACGCTATGTCTGGCGCAAACCCAACACCTCTCATCACCCCGAGAACACCATCCCCACAATGAAGTATGGTTGTGGCAGCATCATGCTGTGGGGATGTTTTTCATCCGCAGGGACTGGGAAACTGGTCAGAATTGAAGGAATAATGGATGACGCTAAATACAGCGAAATTCTTGAGGGAAACTTGTTTCAGTCTTCCAGAGATTTGAGACTGGGACAGAGGTTCACCTTCCAGCAGGACAATGACCCTAAGCATACTGCTAAAGCAACACTCGAGTGGTTTAAGGGCAAACATTTAAATGTCTTGGAATGGCCTAGTCAAAGCCCAGACCTCAATCCAATTGAGAATCTGTGGTATGACTTAAAGACTGCTGTACACCAGCGGAACCCATCCAACTTGAAGGAGCTGGAGCAGTTGAAGAATGGGCAAAAATCCTAGTGGCTAGATGTGCCAAGCTTATAGAGACATACCCCAAGAGACTTGCAGCTGTAATTGCTGCAAAAGGTGGCTCTACAAAGTATTGACTTTGGTGGGGTGAATAGTTATGCACGCTCAAGTTCTGTTTTTTTGTCTTATTTCTTGTTTGTTTCACAATAAAACATATTTTAAATCTTCAAAGTGGTAAGCATGTTATGTAAATCAAATGATACAAACCCCCAACAAATCTATTTTAATTCCAGGTTGTAAGGCAACAAAATAGGAAAATTGCCAAGGGGGGTGAAAACTTTCGCAAGACACTGTATCCTGTCCCCTCCGCTGCTAAAGCTGTCAAATCCTCCCACAGGTTTCTAGTTTGACCAGCTGTTTTAAGCAACTAATAAGGCAAACTTTCTAGCTATGCCAGGCAAAATCGGGCATTATCAGCTCATTGTTATGGATGTATCCATATGAATGTCAATAGAAAACGGCTACTTTGCTATTATTCTGGCTGCAGAGGTCGTGACTTTGTTAGCCGTAGCAAGTTGGCTAGCTATTAAGCAAGGGATAAGAACTTCGCCAGCGAGCATGGCAACGGAAGATAAAGAACGAAAGACTGTATCGCGTCCATAAATATTGAACTAATCGAACGAACGACTGGGATGAGAAAGTATGAATTTGCTTATATAAATGAAAATATCAACAGTTATTTTTTATTTCTACCGGTAAATGTATGCTTTCATATTGCTTTCTTTCACAACTGTGGTATACAGTGAGGGAAAAAAGTATTTGATCCCCTGCTGATTCTGTACGTTTGCCCACTGACAAACCCATGATCAGTCTATAATTTTAATGGTAGGTTTATTTGAACAGTGAGAGACAGAATAACAACAAAATAATCCAGAAAAACGCATGTCAAAAATGTTATAAATTGATTTTCATTTTAATGAGGGAAATAAGTATTTGACCTTCTGCAAAACATGACTTATTACTTGGTGGCAAAACCCTTGTTGGCAATCACAGAGGTCAGACATTTCTTGTAGTTGGCCACCAGGTTTGCACACATCTCAGGAGGGATTTTGTCCCACTCCTCTTTGCAGATCTTCTCCAAGTCATTAAGGTTTCGAGGCTGACGTTTGGCAACTCGAACCTTCAGCTCCCTCCACAGATTTTCTATGGGATTAAGGTCTGGAGACTGGCTAGGCCACTCTAGGACCTTAATGTGCTTCTTCTTGAGCCACTCCTTTGTCGCCTTGGCCGTGTGTTTTGGGTCATTGTCATGCTGGAATACTCATCCACGACCCATTTTCAATGCCCTGGCTGAGGGAAGGAGGTTCTCACCCAAAATTTGACGGTACATGGCCCCGTCCATCGTCCCTTTGATGCGGTGAAGTTGTCCTGTCCCCTTAGCAGAAAAACACCCCCAAAGCATAATGTTTCCACCTCCATCTTTAACAGTGGGGATGGTGTTCTTGGGGTCATAGGCAGCATTCATCCTCCTCCAAACACGGCGAATTGAGTTGATGCCAAAGAGGTCGATTTTGGTCTCATCTTATCACAACACTTTCACCCAGTTTCCTCTGAATCATTCAGATTTTCATTGGCAAACTTCAGACAGGCCTGTATATGTGCTTTCTTGTGCAGGATTTCAGTCCTTCACGGCATAGTGTGTTACCAATTATTTTCTTGGTGACTATGGTCCCAGCTGCCTTGAGATCATTGACAAGATCCTCCCATGTAGTTCTGGGCTGATTCCTCACCGTTCTCATGATCATTGCAACTCCACAAGGTGAGATCTTGCATGGAGCCCCAGGCCGAGGGAGATTGACAGTTATTTTGTGTTTCTTCCATTTGTGAATAATCGCACCAACTGTTGTCACCTTCTCACCAAGCTGCTTGGCGATGGTCTTGTAGCCCATTCCAGCCTTGTGTATGTCTACAATTTTGTCCCTGACATCCTTGGAGAGCTTTTTGTTCTTGGCCATGGTGGAGAGTTTGGAATCTGATTGAATGATTGCTTCTGTGGACAGATGTCTTTTATACAGGTAACAAACTGAGATTAGGTGCACTCCCTTTCAGAGTGTGCTCCTAATCTCAGCTCGTTACCTGTATAAAAGACACCTGGAAGCCAGAAATCTTTCTGATTGAGAGGGGGTCAAATACTTATTTCCCTCATTAAAATGCAAATCAATTTATAACATTTTTGACATGTGTTTTTCTGGATTTTTGTTGTTGATATTCTGTCTCTCACTGTTCAAATAAACCTACCATTAAAATTATAGACTGATCATTTCTTTGTCAGTGGGCAATCGTACAAAATCAGCAGGGGATAAAATACTTTTTTCCCCTCACTGTAAGCGGGATAAACAGATTAAACAAACGCAACAGAATACAATTTACTGTTATTCTGGCTGCAGAGGTCATGACTGTGTAGCTAGTTGGCTAGCTAGCAGCAATTAAGGATAAGAACGTTGCCACTGAGCATGGCAACGAAACATAAAAGAACAGATGACTGGGTCGCATCCTTAGATAAGGGTGGGAGGGCCAAGAGACCTGAGGTGGCAGAACGGAGTGCTCAGGTTGGGGTGTAGGGTTTGAGCATAGCCTGAAGTTAGGGAGGGGCAGTTCCTCTTGCTGTTCCGTAGGTAAGCACCATGGTCTTGTAGAGGATTCAAGCTTCGACTGGAAGCCAGTAGAGAGAACTTGGGAAGGTTGAAAACCAGGCAAGCTGCAGCATTCTGGATAAGTTGGAGGGGTTTGATGGCACAAGTGGGGAGCCCAGCCAATAAGTTGCAGTAGTCCAGAGATGACAAGTGCCTGGATTAGGACCTGCGCCACTTCCTGCATGAGGTAGGGTCGTACTCTACGGATGTTGTAGAGCATGAAACTGCAGGAGCAAGTCACTGCTTTGATGTTTGAAGAGAATGACAGGGTGTTGTCCAGGATCACGCCAAGGTTCTTTGCACTCTGGGAGGGCAACACTGTGGAGTTGTCAACCGTGATGGAGAGGTCTTTGAGCAGGCAGGCCTTCCAGGGAAGAAGAGCATCTCCGTCTTCTCGAGGTTGAGCTTGAGGTGGTGGGCCGACATCTAAGTTGAGATATCTGCCAGGCACGCAGAGATGCGTGTTGCCACCTTGGTGTCAGAAGGGGGGAAGAAGAAAAGTAGTTGAGTGTCATCCACATAGCAATGATAGGAGAGAACATGTGAGGATATGACGGAGCCGAGTGACTGGGTGTATGGAGAGAAGAGGAGAGGGCCTAGAACTGAGCCCTGGGGGAAACCAGTAGTGAGAGTACGTGGTGGTGACACAGATCCTCTCCACGTCACCTGGTAGGAGCGGCCTGCCAGGTAGGATGCAATCCAAGAATGTGCAGAGCCTGGGACACCCAGCCCTGAGAGGGTGGAGAGGAGGATCTGATGGTTCATGGTGTCAAAGGCATCGGGTAGATCTAGGAGGATGAGAACAGAGGAGAGAGAGTCAGCTTTTGCAGTGCAGAGAGCCTCCGTGACACAGAGAAGAGCAGTCTCGGTTGAGTGACCCGTCTTGAAGCCTGACTGGTTAGGTTCAAGAAGATCGTTCTAATTATCCCTGATTATTATACTTTTTTTATGTTAATTCTCCAGAAGTATATAGTTTTTCTCTAAAATCATACATTGTGTGGCCTGGCTGGTCTAGCGGTAATGCCACAGGCTCTGGCCTAGAATGTTGGCATGGGTTTGAATCCGGCCTACTGCCCTATGGCTCGACCTCTCTCTATCTTTCCCCATTGTCATCCTCTCTCACTATCTATATATTTATAAAATCATACATTGTCATTTTCACAGTGTAATGTACGGCAGTAATCATTTCTTTGCTATACTATTACCATGTAACAAGATTCTTCAAATAAAATAACTACACAGCCTCCATATGTGTCCAGAAGCTTGGAGTCATTCTTCTGTCATAACACCTGATCATGAGCACGTCGATGTACAGCACTAATGGGAATCGAACATCGGCTATTTAATTGAGTGGATTGTGGAGACCTGTGTTTTCTTCACATGGGGCCCTGTAAATTGGATTCCCACTAAGCTTGAATGGTTTCTAGCAGCTAATGGAATTCCTCAACCTGAAGAGCCACAGGCAGCTATAGTCTGTAATAAGCTTTAGAGAAAATCTCTATCTCTCCTGCCACGGGTGAGATCTGTGTATTACTTTTGAATGGGAGTAGAGGCATTCATTTAACCCCATGTTCTTCCATGTTCTTCCTCAGGCACTTTTGAGACTTGTACATTTTTTACACTGAAGCCATTATATAGGGCACAAGTGAAGATTCTAGGCCAAAATGACTTGTGTATGCGACTATAATTTTTTGGGTAAGAAACTTCTAGATGTCCAATTGTTGGCCTTTCATTAAAGCATGAGATGTCGGTCAATATGTACTATGCAGACGAGTTGGTTTAAGAAGAGAGCAGTTGGCTCCATATGGATCACCTTACCTCTGACAGAGCCAAGTACTGCAGTTCTACAGGACTCAGTGAGGGGGTCAATCAAACTTCCTCGAGCTCCAACTCCAGTCAAGCCCCACTACTCCACCCAGGGTTTGTATCACACATTGACTCTTGGGGGTTCCCAACATCTATTTGGAGTTCCTGAAGTCGAAAACGTTGACCTTTTGGGCCTCATTGATACTTAAATTCCTATGGAGGGGTTGATTGTTATGGGGTGTGCAGCCATCCAGTAATTGAAACAATGGAGGCCATTGTAATTACCCTTTGCCCAGATTTTTTCCTATTCATTCCCATCTTATTTTCGGGAGCATTGCAAACATTTAAAAAATGCATTTTGGAGATCAGAGCTTTAAGTTGGACCTAGTGTGCATCCCAAATGGCACCCGTTTCCATATATAGTGCTTTTATTAAGTAGTGCACTATAGGGAATAAATTTTTACAGTTTAGTCATTTAGCAGACGCTCTTATCCAGAGCGACATACAATTAGTGAGTGCATACGTTTTCATACTGGCCCCCCGTGGGAATAGAATGCCATTTGGGACGCAACCCTAGACTAAAACCACCAGCTCCATGTTATTGTATGTTAATACAATATAGTAATCAACCTTTCAACCCATAGACTGTCAGTCACTGTAGCAACAGCTTTCTTAGTGTTGGCCTCAGTATGCTGCCCTAAGTGTTCTGCCCACTGTCAGATAAAATGTGATGCCACACTACCCTCTGGTGGAATAATTGGTATAACATTCAATTTGATCAGGCTGAATTAATTACACATATTTGCTGTCTTATTCCTTTTCATATTGGTCCAGTCATTCCTGCTGGACTACTAAGAGCTCAGAGAAGTGGGGCGTTTCAAAGTTCTGTGTCCCTGGATTGAATCTCCTGACTGCATGTCTATTACAGTGTACAGCACACCCAATAATCCACAGCAAACAACAGTAGACTGCAGAGAGACATTTGCTGTCAGTAATAGTTACTGCTTTATGTCTTGTCTGCAGGTACCTGAAGCCTGACGAGAACAAAAAGTCAAAGCACAAGACTGCTGTCAAGAAGAAGACCCTCAACCCAGAGTTTAACGAGGTAAGGAAGGACTTGCTCTCTCTCCCTCTCTTTTCTGTCTCTCTTTTTCCTCTCTCAGAGATGTCTTGTCTCTCTCAGACATCACAAATCCCTCCAATAATCAATCCCATTTAAGACTTGAGACTGAGGAGGAACCAGATATTTTAAGATAAAGATTTATCAACTTAGTTATGAAACACATTTTTCAAACTTGGCTAATTATAACTGACTATGTTCCAGTATGATAGAATTTAATGAAAATCATGACTTTAAAGGTCCAATGCAGCAGTTTCTATCTCAATATCAAATAATGTCTGGGTAACAATTAAGTACCTTACTGTAATTTTTCTTTTTTTTTATAAAAATGGTTTAAAAAAATAATGTTCTTAGCAAAGGGCAATTTCTTAAGCAATAATTTTGCTAGGACTGTCTCGGAGTGGTCTGAGTGGGGAGGGGAAAACTGAAAATTAGCTGTTATTGGCAGAGAGGTTTGGAACTCTCTTTCTTATTGGTCAATTAAATTATTTACCGCATAATGATGTCACCATCGAAGGCCAAAACTCCATCCCACCAAAACAGGCTGAAATTTCAGGCAGTGTTTTCAAACTGCTCTTGCATTAAAATGGCATTGTCATCACTTTCACAATTTCACAGTATTATTCCAATCTCATAGTGTGGAAATATATATAAAACACAGGAAAATCATGTTTTTGACTGCACTGGGCTTTTAATGCTGACTCATTGTACATTTACTCTTCTTACCGACAGTAGATATCACATCTCCCCATATTTCTCTTTTATCTGTATCTCTCTGGGTGTCCTTATTACACACGAGTGTACATTTTCTAACCAAAATGCATTGATGATGAGGTGGTTCTCCTTCAGATCAGCCCTCTGTTAACTTTCATTGAGAGGCCAACTTGACTATAGTAAAAGTCTATTCCTCCCCTCTCCTGAGCCTGCCTCTTCTTCTCTGAATGCCTCACAAACATTATCCCATTCATCTGTTACTTTGCTCCAGAGAGACCCCGCATTCATGCTCAGACCACCACCAAAGACCTAACTTAGCACTAGACTGTGGCATCGAGTGGGTCGCCTTGGAGCGTCCAGCCGTATGAGAGTGAATGGCGTCCTCCCCGAACACGCGAGGCCTGTAACTTGACATTTCCACTGACATTTCCTTTTGTCCCCATTTCCATCCTGTCGCCTGTTGGCCTTTCAGCTCGAGATTAGGTGACCTGGGCTTCCAGTGCATTCAGAAAGCATTTTGGTAACCTTGAGTATTGATGGATTGATATCAAAATTGATTATCTTCGGGGCCTCCCAAGTGGCGCAGCGGTCCAAGGCACTGCAGTGCATGAGGCGTCATTACAGATCCGGGTTTGATCCCGGGCTGTGTTGCAGCCGGCCGCGACCGGGAGACCCATGAAGCGACGCACAATTGGCCCAGCGTCGTCCGGGTTAGGGGAGGGTTTGGCCGGCCGGGATGTCCTTGTCCCATCGCGCACTAGCGACTTCTGTGGTGGGCCAGGCGCATGCACGTTGACACGGTCGCCAGTTGTACGGTGTTTCCTCCGACACATTGGTGCGGCTGGCTTCCGGGTTAAGCGAGCAGTGTGTCAAGAAGCAGTGCGGCTTGGCAGGGTTGTGTTTCGGAGGACGCATGGCTATCACCCTTTGCCTCTCCCGAGTCCGAACGGGAGTTGCAGCGATGGGACAAGACTGTAACTACCAATTGGGGAGAAAAATGAGTAAAAAATAAATACATTGATTCTCTTCTATCAGCATGATTATGTGTAGGCCATATTGGTTATTATTTAAATATGATTCCTTTGATCATGTTTCTTGTGGAATCTAATGGCTTTTTGGGGATAACCTTGCTGTCTGTATGAAGCTGTATGGCCAGTCACGTTTTTACGTTTGTTTTTTTTACCTGGCTTTTGTAGGAGTTCTTCTACGAAATCAAATACGCCGACCTCAGCAAGAAAACCCTGGAGGTAACCGTGTGGGATTACGACATCGGCAAGTCCAACGATTTCATAGGTAAGCACTAAGCAGGTGACTGCATTACGAAGTGTAGTGACCTGAACACGTAAGTTCAAAGCGTTGTGCGCGGCTGCAGCCACACCGGTGACACTCCTGCCCCGGCCCAGGCTCTCCTGCCTCTCTGCACCTGGCACCTCTGTTTACAACACCTACTCACCCACCAGAGGCCTCCACTTGTCCTGATAGCTGCCCAGGGCCACAAACCTGGACACAAAAGACAACAACAAGCAACTGTTGAGTGTTGAGCAAGAAGCACGAAACACTGACCCTTGGTGCATGCCAGCCAGGCTGTCAGCTTGTCAAGTTGTCATGCCGACATGTTGTTGGTGGGCGAGGAATTGAACTTGAAGTGATAGGGATCCAACTTTTTCTGAATCCCTACCAAATCCCACATTCCTCTCTTTTGATGATGCACACCTCAAGAGTCCTCAGCACTCATCAGGAGTTTGATCTGTTCACTCATCCACTTTAGCTAAGATGAAGAGGAGAGTGGGGTATGTTGAGCTATTTTTTACATTCACCATCACTACGTCAAAGAAAATATTTGTATTCTTTCTAACAAAGATATCTACATATATTTCAGGATGTTGTGTATCCCTGGAAATAATCAGAATTCATGTAAACATAACAGTTTTGAAAACATAACTTGTCCAAAATAAGTGGTCTCTTGGCATAACTTACCCCGGGTAAATTGAGCATAGGGACAGGGTAAGTTGAGCCACCTTGGGGTAAGTGGGTGATGGTGCTGGTAGGTCAAAGTTTAATTCATGGAATGGGGTTTGGTATATTTATACTTTTCTCTATGCATATTCTGACCTTGAATTTAAGCACGAGAATAGCATGCTATTCACCCACTATTCGTTTGAGGTGGAGCTTGAATAAATGAAGGTGTGGCTACAGATACACCGTATTCTGACCTTGACTTAGTTCCCTAATAATTCCACCACCTTTACGCCGAGGAAACCATGAAGAAGGTCTAGCGAACCTACCGGTTCCAAGTGGAAAAATCATCGACTTATTTTTTTCAAATATAAATAACACCATTCTCCATGTACTGTAATTTACATCTTGATAAGATCTATTGATAAGAGCTAGGTAAATGATTGTAAATACACATAGCAATTTTGTTTGATGAAACCAGCCATATGGAAGCAAACTGGAAAATCATATCAACATAACATGCATTGCGGACCCTTTTCCACAGTGAAATAGGATATACATAGCTGTGCCATTATTCAGAATTCTAATTGTGTGCCCTCATAATTTGCGTGGATGAAATTTGGAGACCCAAGCTATAGGCTTCTGTAGGGCTGAACCTGCCGAGTTGATTTATGCACTTTAGAATGTTTTGATTATATGCGCTGGCTTTTCTCTGTTTAATTTTACAATTTGTATCATGTTAAGTATTAGCCACTATCGGGAGCCACCGTCAGTAATTCCACATGCATTTCTTTTATTATTCCGTTTACCTTTCTTTCCTCTGTCACGTCCTTGTAAATTGTTCCTGAGGGTCGCTTGCATTAGTGGATCATATTAGGCTAATGTTGTGCAATAATTTCGGACATGTAACCTATTTGAAGACCACACATAGCATGTTAAAACGGGAGCCTGGCGTACAGTTCACAACGACTGGACCATTGTCATACAGTTCCATGATTAGTGGGAATAAGGGTAGATTTATAGGATTATTGTTCAATCCATATTGTACACTTTTTCCACCTTCCAATATTTCATGGATTGAACTTGAATATGACACTTAAACCACTGTATTTTTTATTCATCAATATACAGTATTTTGTGTGGAAACGCTCTCCATACCGTAAAAAAAAAAAAAAAAAAAGATTAATACTTTCCTAACCCTAAAATGTGCATAAATAATCTACAAGATGGATTTCTTTCATTGATCACTATATTCTGAACCCGTTCTCTCAATGTATTCTATTGAATCTGTCGACAAAATTCGAATTAAAGGTGCACCGTACAAGAAAATGTGTTGACCAGCAAGTGGGAGGGTTTTCAGCGGTTGAATTAAATGTACACTGTTCAAAAAAATTAAGGGAACACTTAAACAACACAATGTAACTCCAAGTCAATCACACTTCTGTGAAATCAAAATGTCCACTTAGGAAGCAACACTGATTGAAAATAAATGTCACATGCTGTTGTGCAAATGGAATAGACAACAGGTGGAAATTATAGGCAATTAACAAGACACCCCCAATAAAGGACTGGTTTTGCAGGTGGTGACCACAGACCACTTCTCAGTTCCTATGCTTCCTGGCTGATGTTTTGGTCACTTTTGAATGCTGGCGGTGCTTTCACTCTAGTGGTAGCATGAGACGGAGTCTACAACCCACACAAGTGGCTCAGGTAGTGCAGCTCATCCAGGATGGCACATCAATGCGAGCTGTGGCAAGAAGGTTTGCTGTGTCTGTCAGCGTAGTGTCCAGAGCATGGTGGCGCTACCAGGAGACAGGCCAGTACATCAGGAGACGTGGAGGAGGCCGTAGGAGGGCAACAACCCAGCAGCAGGACTGCTACCTCCGCCTTTGTGCAAGGAGGAGCAGGAGGAGCACTGCCAGAGCCCTGCAAAATGACCTCCAGCAGGCCACAAATGTGCATGTGTCTGCTCAAACGGTCAGAAACAGACTCCATGAGGGTGGTATGAGGGCCCGACATCCACAGGTGGGGGTTGTGCTTACAGCCCAACACCGTGCAGGACGTTTGGCATTTGCCAGAGAACACCAAGATTGGCAAATTTGCCACTGGCGCCCTGTGCTCTTCACAGATGAAAGCAGGTTCACACTGAGCACATGTGACAGACGTGACAGAGTCTGGAGACGCCGTGGAGAACGTTCTGCTGCCTGCAACATCCTCCAGCATGACCGGTTTTGGCGGTGGGTCAGTCATGGTGTGGGGTGGCATTTCTTTGGGGGGGCCGCACAGCCCTCCATGTGCTCGCCAGAGGTAGAGGTGACTGCCATTAGGTACCGAGATGAGATCCTCAGACCCCTTGTGAGACCATATGCTGGTGCGGTTGGCCCTGGGTTCCTCCTAATGCAAGACAATGCTAGACCTCATGTGGCTGGAGTGTGTCAGCAGTTCCTGCAAGAGGAAGGCATTGATGCTATGGACTGGCCCGCCCGTTCCCCAGACCTTAATCCAATTGAGCACATCTGGGACATCATGTCTCGCTCCATCCACCAACGCCACATTGCACCACAGACTGTCCAGGAGTTGGCGGATGCTTTAGTCCCGGTCTGGGAGGAGATCCCTCAGGAGACCATTCACCACCTCATCAGGCATTGTAGGGAGGTCATACAGGCACGTGGAGGCCACACACATTACTGAGCCTCATTTTTACTTGTTTTAAGGACATTACATCAAAGTTGGATCAGCCTGTAGTGTGGTTTTCCACTTTAATTTTGAGGGTGACTCCAAATCCAGACCTCCATGGGTTGATACATTTGATTTCCGTTGATAATTCTTGTGTGATTTTGTTGTCAGCACATTCAACTATGTAAAGAAAAAAGTATTTAATAAGATTATTTCATTCATTCAGATCTAGGATGTGTTATTTTAGTGTTCCCTTTTATTTTTTTGAGCAGTGTATTTAGAGCGGGCAAGGTAGCCACATCTGCAGAGTGCGTTACGTGACTAAGGTAAGACTGAATACCAAATACTGAGAAGTGTTTAGGAAAGGAGTGCGTAGGTAGAAAAGGCATCAATTCCTGAGTCGGGATCGGGCCAATTTTGCATAAAACGGAAAACAAATAATCATCATTTGTACGGGGTATGGTAACCTAACGTAGCAGGCGTAGAAAGATGCCTGAGCGGAGTTCCCACTGTAAATTGACTGCTCTGTCTAGGTTCCCCAAGTGTCCAGTAGAGGGGGCAGCTACTCCAGGAATCCACTGAGGTGAAGCCTAGCCTCCTTCTTGCTTCATAACATATGAAGCCGATGCAGTAAATGACACTACATTTGATCGTGCTTTCCTGTCAATTCTGTAACACATGCTATTGACTGACTGGCCTAGCCTATATAGACATTCAGATCAACAATAGAGCTATCTCCATTGTCATGGACATTTGTATTAGCTGGGCTAACATATATCAACACCATTTTTGGACACGATAGCTTAATGACGGTTTAAATAGCTAGAAGAGAGTAATGTGCCTATTTGAAAGCTATAAAAAAAGTAGCTCTCATGCTAGAAAAGGATAATGTGCTCAGATACATTTTTTTAAAACATTGTTCAAGTCCAGCAATTGATAAGAGCAAGGGTGCACACATAAAACGCTTGCATTCTCAGCTTTAAAACATTGGTCACCAGTCTCACTTCAGAAATGCCTATTCTACCATGGACAGCCTGTTCAGGAGGGTGCAACATCACAGAGTGTTGGGTATTGTGTTAGTTCAAATCATTTTCTTTCTATCGTCCATCTATGCGTTCTAACCCTTTTCTACTGTTCTGCCGTCCCCGGTCTCAGGTGGTGTGTCCCTGGGCATCAGCGCAAACGGGGAGAGGCTCAAACACTGGTTCGACTGTCTCAAAAACAAGGACAAGAAAATTGAGCGCTGGCACACACTGACCAACGAACTTCCTGGTACAACATTCAATGACTAATGGCCCCTCCCCACTACATGCTGTGGACAGGAGTTCAGCCTTGATCGACTGATATACACTTCAGCTTTCCCATTTCCGGAGACGTTTAACAAATCAAAGCTCTTGTTTTCTGTATTTCTATCCCAAGGTTTTGGGCTCATCCATTATCTTCTATCCCTTTCTGATAATGTGCTGTGGCTTTAGGGCTTGCTGCACAGAACTAGAATGAGATGAGAATCAATTTCTATGGTTTGCTGTCCGGAGATGCATATTCACTTGGTTTACTGGCAGCAGTTTATTGTCAGATTGTGGGGAGTGTGCACTTTGTTGAAATGACAGGAGAAAAGGGTGGATTATTTACTTCAGACACTGCTCTAAAAAGTATATGTATTGTTTACAGTCTAGGACGCAGCTCCACACACCTCTGCTGTTCCTCTGAAGTTCATGTTTGCAGGAGAAAGGGGGCAAAAGACACAAGTAAGGTGTTTTATAGAGAGCCTACTTTCAGGTCATTCCAAATGTCTAATCCTGTGGTGAAGGGTTTGGGCCAGGGGAGGGAAATGTGGAAGGGAGGGGGGCAAGGCATTTTAATATGCTAGCTCTAAGTACTGTATCTCATTGCTTATGTGTTTCAGTTGTTTTTTAAGTAGTGTAAAATGTACGCCACCCCAGTCAGTATATCAGATGAATGTAGACTATAACCCTTCTCTCCCACAGTACAGTAACTCCTCTGAGAATGGGTGCTGTGTGTTATTGAACATACATCAAACTCAAGTGATAAATATCAGAGAGATGCGTTGGATAGCATGGGAGGAAGAGAATTGAACTTCTGCAGCCTAATGTCAAACAGTTTTTATGATGTTGCCTGAGGCGGAATATTACCATAAATCTATATTTGTACATTTCCTCATTGGCTGTTTAATTATTAATGATGAGAAGGCAAAATGGCTCAAAACTCACTTCATGCTTATGTTTTGAAATCAAAGTATATTTTGATATGAATTAATCATTTTATGTTCACCTTTTTATTGTTGCCCTAAAATGTAAGTTTGTGCTGTATGTGTGTCGGTGAACACGACCGAGAATTGTCCTTTTAAATCGTGAAATATTGAACTGGCCAATTCTTACCCAACAGGTAATAATTGTCTATGTATTGCTAGTGTTTTACTGTCATACTTGTGTAAAAGTAAAGATACCTTAATAGAAAATGACTCAAGTAAAAGTGAAAGTCACCCAGTAAAATCCTACATGAGTAAAAGTTAAAACTATTTGGTTTTAAATATACTTAAGTATCAAAAGTAAATGTAATTGCTAAAATATACCTAAGTATCAAAAGTAAAAGTATAAATAATTTCAAATTCCTTATATTAAGCAAACCACATGGCACAATATTCTTGTTTTTTTTAATTTACGGATAGCCAGGTGCACACTCCAACACTCAGACATAATTTACAAACAAAGCATTTGTGTTTAGTGAGTCCGCCAGATCAGATGCAGTAGGGATGACCAGGGATGTTCTCTTTAAGTGTGTGAATTAGACCATTTTCCTGTCCTGCTAATAAGCATTCAAAATGTAACGAGTTCTTTTGGGTGTCACGGAAAAAGTACATTATTTTCTTTAGGCATGTAGTGCCTCCTGTAGCTCAGTTGGTAGAGCATGGCGCTTGCAACGCCAGGGTTGTGGGTTCGATTCCCACGGGGGGCCAGTATGAAAAATGTATGCACTCACTAACTGTAAGTTGCTCTGGATAAGAGCATCTGCTAAATGACTAAAATGTCAATAGTAAAATACAGATACCCAAAAAAACTACTTAAGTAGTACTTTAAAGTATTTTTACTTAAGTACTTTACACCACTGCTAACAACCATGAAAGTACATGATTATACATGGTTTAATTTTGTGTTATAATTTATAATAGTGTTGTTTTTTCAAAGCTTTTGTCTTACTTGAAAAATGTAAAGACATGTCCCATTCCATTCTTAAACATGCTGTGAGCTTAATTTCAAGAAAAAGCTCCCAAGGGTTATTTTCTATCTTCATTGACCAACCCAGGTGGACTTCTTGTTACTACTTCATGTTCAAAGTTTACTCAAGACGGTGTAAAAAATTGCACTTGTCTATCTGAGCATTACGGTCTCTCTGGCCTGGTGTGGACTAACCTAACGTTGCAGGAGTAAAATAAACGCCTGAAACTAGATCCCCTACTTACGGGTCTTGACGAGAAGTAAAAAACTGTCGGGGGAGGTTCTCTTCTGCACTGTTCAACCAATCCAGTAAATGTGGAGGAGTTAAGATGGAGTGTCGCCTTGTTAACGTCCCAAAGTGGAAGTCTCTCTTTCCATGTCCCCTGAAAACCAGAACATCCGGTTGTTGGGGACTCGGCAGAGGCTAGGTGTGGGACAGTGATTTGTGAAACGCTATCTCTCACTACTTGACTATGTGGCAGTCCAATATCCTCCCCCTCTACAGTACCAACTAGAAGTTGTTTTGGACACCAAGGTCCAACCCAATCTCTTCCTCAAGCCTACAGGGCGTCAGGCAGGCATGAAGGTGGTTTCTTTCTTGAATGCATATACAGTCGCAACAGCTAACCTGTGACATTTTATAATCTGTTTGCCTTTGTACCAAAAACATTGATATTATAACAAAAATGCATGCAAATGTGATTGGTTAGTCATGAAATGACTTTGCTTAATGTTTGATACTGCTGTTTTTTCTGTGAAAAAAAATAACACAACTGTGGAAGCTACAAGAATGTCAATCTTTCTTCTGGACAACGTTTTGTACCTTTGAACACTTTCGCATTGACTGTGCGGCTGCTGTATTGACTGTCTGGGAATGTGAAGAAAAATCTCTCCCTCTCTGTTTGTTCCTTTTGTTAACACTCAGGCGATTGTTTGCATAATTCTGGTGGTTCTATGGTAAAAAAAAAAAAAAAGAAAGAATCATTTTTTCCCTCCTATTTCACCTTACTTTTGCACCGAATGGCCGAATGATTGTGCCTTTTATTTTGTAACAGTGTATTTTTGCAACGCTCACTCACAAAGATTAGATCGATATTAGCTTTAATATGTAAATAATACATGACACACTTATATTCCTGTATATGTGTTAGGTTCCGAACACTGTTTCACTCTTTCAATATTTCCCACCCAAATGACACGTGGCCAGTGTGTCGTTCCACTCTTTGATGGTGGTGATAGTGAAGGCAGGGGTGCAAGGTTGAGGTGGAAGCATGTATGTACAATATACATCTGTGAGTGGAAGAGGTCACAATGACAGGCAACAGGCCTGTAATTCACAAAGCATACTCAGAGTAGGAGTGCTGACCTTTAAATCATAATGAATACAATTATATGGACAGGGGGGGGGCCTGCACTAAATCGCACCCTACGATGATTATTGATTCGTTTATCATTGCGACGTTCATGCCCCATATAG